CAAGCCACGTGGCGGAAAAGATATTGCGTCCATCTAGTAAGCTTTTATAACCAAGAAGATCCTAAAGGACCCTACACACTTTGCAGAACAAATCACGCGACTGACACAGACTACATTCATTGTAATCAACGCTCATTTGTTACATTATGCGATGTGAAATGCCCGGAACGTTAAAAATTAAATCACGTGTTTTAAAAACAAAAATAAAACTTTTTAAAGATCGTCAACATATTCTCTCTACATTTAATACGTTGCAGAGTGTGTATGAACCTTTATGTCAAGAGGAAAGGGATAAACGTAAAACGTTAGGAAAAATTGTGTGGCGTAATCCTAACGAAATGTTGCCGCGATGGTCCTTTAGCCGCGTAGTGTTACCTAACGCTACAATAAACTCCATACTGTCCTTTTATAGCGCCTTTATTGTGCAATATGCGTTGTGCACTAACACGTAAACACATTGGTTTTATGTTAACAAATAATAGTTGCATGTGGTGTAAGCAATGTTACAACAAAATGTTTTTGAAAAATTATGGAAATGACGTCACAGAAATCGAACGTTAAATATACAGTCGTAAAGATTAGGGACATGTGTGAAATAAAAACAGTCAAAATGCACTGCGACACTCGTATGTATACGATATAGAGGCGGCAGTATCTGTGGAAGCTAATGGAGTGCACTGGTGAAGAATTTATGGGTGAACGGTTCAGGCGCGCCGCCCTCGCGCGGAAGCAACGCTTTCCATATCTTATTCCTTGCCAACGTTATTTATGACAGAGGGAAATCATTTCGGATCGTTATATTTTTTCTATGAATAGAAACATTATATTATAAATTTAATAAACATCAATATGAACGAGTAAATACACAAATAAAACTGTCATGTACCAAAGAAGTTGTCAAAATTTTAGTTCGAAATTTCAGTGTTTGTAAACTCGTAGATAACGTTTATCACATCCGTTCTCACTTACTATTAAAACTAAATTTGTTGTTGAAGAGGTGATTATTGAATAGTGGTACAGCATCCATAACTCAAAGCCAAAGTAATTGAATCATAGCGGAGACCTGACGTGTCCTTGCGGCGAGTTCCTGGCAATGTTCCAACTACAGTTTGATTAATTGCCAATAAATATATTTTGCTCTCTCGTGTCTGATGGACGAACGTATGTCGTATGTTGTATGTTGACAGAGGAGGAAGCTCTGCGATAATCCTGACTGATGTGGCTTTTGTGGCTGTACTTTAAATATAAATGGGAAGTCTATCGACAAACTCTGCTTCTTTGAATACATTTCAAAGCAAATACAATGCAAGTTTGTAGAAAAAACGATGTTACTTATTTGGGTAGCCTTTTGTCTTTTGAATATTATTTTCACATTTAGGTTTAGTTGTTGGCTAAAATATGAATTTGTACTGCTGTTAAGTGTACAGTGTACATAAGTTTACATAAGTTAGGAAGTGGAGAAGTTTATGTAAGTCGGACGTCAGCGGTTCGCCATAATCCTGACATATTATTCCCGAGACGCGATCCCTCTGCGCCAGTTTTATTTAGCTTTCAAAGCTACATGCAGTTGTTAACTTCCTGGTCAGTTGTTTTGGCAGTTGTTACTGAAGTTATTATAATTTAATAAGTGTATGAAACCGTTCATAATACGTTGACGTAACTAGGTTAAACCAAGGAATACAATAGACATTTAAAAGTTTGTAAAATAAAAATATATCGTGCAATGTAACTTATAGAATCAGAGATAGACGTATAAATTATAGTTGTGGGAACTATGAAGTTAAGGTATATGGTCTATGGGCAACACTATTCAATAGAAAAAATTAGGTTTCTGTCTATTAGAGTGTAGGTTTAATTCTAGCACATGAATGTATCTATAATCCTTATGTTTTTCTATCTGTCTCTCTGGCTCTACAACCGAGGAGACATTTGTTATGTGGTCCAGCCGGGGACTTGACCTACATGTAAGTGAGAACATTGTCCGAGTTTATTTTTCAAGTCTCTCACGCCCGTATTCACAAACGACACTGTGAGGTCTCATAGTGTGCTCGAGCGCATAGGGCTGGTAGAATCAATTCACAAACAACACTTAAGTGCCACAGCGCACTATGCGTTCCCTAAAATGAACGCACAGATAAAGTAGCTCCGCAGCTACTTTAGATAACGCATAGTGTTGGTTGGTAAGAATCTTTCCATGTCTGTCAAAGAAGATGGCACCAAATTTAACTGCCACATACCCTATCATAGTAGCTACTGCTATACTTTATAATATTTTAAGACGCCATGGCATTCCTGAAATTATTAATCATGGAATACTAACAATAATACAATATCTAAACCATGGAACTCAAAGAAGAGAAGAATCTTCATCAGGACTTTATTTAGGAGGATGTTCATAATACGTCATTTCTAGGATACTTAAATAAAATAGGTATAAATAGTAATTTACACAGAAGTAAAGGAAAGTCTACACACCAAATCAAGTCATTAACTTTTCAGTTATCAACCTGTAAACAAGTGAACCAGGAAGAAGCCAGCAAGTTTCATCTTTAATTTCAACTCCTTCCTCATTATTCTGTGAACTTTTTGACCTCCCCTCTTAAGTAATATTGTATAATAAAGACAAATAAAATACTTCTAATATATTAGTTTTTTTTATTAATAAATATCAATTTCTAATTCTAATTTTTCGATTTGTAACTTGTGGATATTTTATTCATATTCCAGGTAGTTTTTTCTTGTTTGAACTAAAACTTTTTCTCTCTCCATTCTCAATTCAAATAATGCCTGGTCATGTTGGGTATTCAATTCAGTTCGATGAATCCGAGCCAGAGTTTCCCTTATTAGGTTTTTATTACCTGTAATACATAAAAAAAACCATTTATAATTTTATAAGTATGATACATATATACACCAGCACTGTATATAGAAACTTACCTTTGGGGGAGTTGAAGTCCTTTGGAGTTTTTTTGGGGAGTGAGACATTCTCCAAATTCTCCAGATAATACTATACATGTATTTTCTAAACCTACAAATTGTATTCGTAATCAACAGTTAACAACGATGATCGTAAAATAATGTATCTAAAATTTCACTTACCACATGGCAACGGCAATAACCGTACAACGTACAAAATAATTAACACGTATCCAAGCAAAATAATGTCTAAACGTATTTATGTTGATTGATTTCTTTTGCAAAACAAACTTGCTTTGAGGTTATTATATTGTTATTAATGTCAACATTTTTTCTGACAGCTATGTAGTGAATTTAGCAAAACAAATGGACCAATCACGGAGCGGTATCTAACGCAGTGTGTTCCCTCAACGAAGTGTTACTTAAGTGTCGTTTATGAATCAGAAGGCTTGCCAAAACGAACGCACTGAGAAATGTTGTTCTTTGCACAGTGTTAGTAGTACGCACAGCCAAGTATTGTTTGTGAATACGGGTGTATGTGTAATGAGGCTATTGAGAATAACTTCTTTTGTTCTTGTGACCAAAATTATTCTTTTCTTTAAAAAAGTTGTATCATTTGTAAGTAAACACACGTAGCGTCTAGGATACTGAAATGTATGATTTGATGATCTTGTTTCGTGAGTTTCGATGAAAGTTAGTAAAACTTAGGTCAAGGTTATCAGGCTTTAATATATGTCTATGACCAAGAAGATGTATATTAAGAGCCTGCGCACACTTTTGACTGAACTATCGCACTACTGTTAAGTCGCATTATGGAATTTAAACTGATGGAATTTGGATCCTTAAAATAAATAAATAACTGTTTAAAATAACTTACTTAAAAAAGATAACTGTAAAAAAAATAGTTTAATAATAAAGTAATATTTGCTATCGGAATGCCAAAATAATCTTGTTCGCAATACCCTTGATTTAGCAAACCACAAATCACGGCAACGCGCACGTCACGTCACGTCACGTCACGTCGAACTCGCGCCGTCATTAGATAGACAGGCTGCGGAAATAAATCCCGTTACGATTCTCTTCCTCGATAATCAGTATCAAGATAGAATCGTAAGAAAACTGTCTTCATCAACCTTCCTCAGATCATATCGATTAAGCTTTCGTTGTTAAAATAAATGAAAATTACTTTTTAAATATCAAAGAAGTTAGTACAACATACAAATCAAACTTAAAAGTTTTATTTTGTATTTTAGTTAAGAAAGTTTAATAAATCAATGTAATTAAATTACTTTTAAGTTACATCTAATAATAATAACATAAGAGAAATCACAAAGCCTTGGAGATAAAACCAATCCCTTGTTCAAACTCGTAAACATTATTGGTTTGTTTGTAAGATTTTTAAATCTCTAATTCTCGATGTTACTATAACTAAATGAACCATTAAAATTTTTAAGAGACGTTCCTTCGTTAAAATTTTCAAGCCAATTAGTGTTTTTTCATGTTCAATGTAGCGTTCACTTGTTAATTGTAGCGTTTCATTCGACGTTCTGCGCAAGTCTTTGTTTTGTGGAAGAAGCTTTCAACATGCCAAACAATTTCACGGAAGAAAGCTGCTGAGTGAACTAGTTTTAATGCATTTTATCTTAAGAATAAGTATTTCATCATTAAACAAATATTTAAACTGGGAATACGGAGAATTAGGAATTTTCCACGTAAAACAAAAGAACGTTAAATTTGAATCGCAACACTAAAACATAGCGTTGTCTCTTTTTTTTCAATGTGAATAAGCGAGATGGCTATATGTTTATTATTGTTATTTAGTTTTAACTTTTATTTCGCAATCATAATTCCAGTAAGATTTTTTCTAGTAATTCAAGATTAACATACGATAGTAGTATGGACTTGGGAAATAAAATTTTATAAGCATTTCTTTTGGCTCACTGCTTAAAGTAGTTCACTCCAACATACTTGAATCGCCTTTAATATTAAAGCGGTTAACTTAAAGACTACAGTACATTTGAACCGTTTTCTTAAAGACTTTTAGCAGTGTACACTTTTTGCATCCGCGCACTTGTTTAGCGTGATTGACTATGGTCACCCATAGCTTCAGGTTCGTTGTATCACTAGAATAAAAAATACAGCCATTTCAAATTGTCACTGTCTTATTCCTTGCTTTTTTTGTAACTAAGTTATTTACACTATTTTAATTGAAAAACTACTTGCACTAGTACATTTTAAATTGTTACATTTTCTCTGTAATACGAGATAGAAGTATTAAAAGAAATCATAATTTACAGTAAAAAAGTTTTCGACAAAACATTTCATAAAAATTCGTATGAATTTCACCGTTCATAAAATATATCGAAGTTCCAGACACGTTGTTGAAATAAAAAAAGTAATTCGTAAAACAATAGGTTAGGAGTATTATTTTAATATTGACAAAGGCACGTTCGGAATGTATCTTTGAGTTTCAGAGTTAGTTCACCTGCTAAAGGCTTTGTCACGTTTGCTGTTTCAGCTTCGGTTCACGATCACACTACACTGAATGTTAATTCTGATGGCTTTTACATTAGATTCTTTAGTGAAGTTTGGATTTTATAAATATCTGCTATTTATTGTTTGTAACTTACAACTTGATGTAGTTAAAGATAAGGCTTATCTTAGATCCATTGTAATTGTGTATTAACCTCATTTTAATATTAAGTTCAAGCTGTTTCTCGTGACTTCAGCCGCGTAAAATTAAAAAATAATTTAAAAAGCATACCTTATGTTATTCACTGATAACGTGGTTTTTAATGGTAAAAGAATTTTTGAAATAGGCCCAGTAGTTTTTGAGTTATTTCAATACGTAAAAAATCAAAAATGCAAATCTTTCCTCTTTATAATGTTAGTACCTATAGAAAATAGACAACATACTTAATTAGATTAAGATTTAAACACCTTTTTAATGATTACAGATTACCTTTTGTATAATCTCTGATTATCTTTTTTTAAATAATGAATTTATGACGTCTATAAATATTAAACAGCATTTCCTAGAAAAAGGCGTCAAACGCTAAAACGATTTATTCGCGCGCTTTGCGATCACTTGCTCTATTTAATTTGCCATCGATATTTGAGTCGAACCATTTAAGTGCACAGATTAATTATAAACAGAGAAACAAATTTATTTTACAAAAAAGAATTTATTCAATTATTGTTAACTTTGTATGAAAGCCATAAAGGTGATAAATCGATAACATGAAATTCTGGTTAACAAATAATGTAACATGTTATGATAAGATACAAAGAACTGTGAAAATAATTAATGAATCTAAGGGACACTTTAAACACTGTTTTGTTGAATTTCCACCTTTAATTTCTAGCGATATAACATCTCTATGTTTAAATACTCTTTACCGAATTTTGCTATCTCGTGCCGGCAGGTGGGGCGGAGGTCGTAAATTAAAACTTTCAGCTTTATTTGAACTCTGCGGAAAATATGGCGGCTCTAAAGCGTGAGACATCGTCGCGCTCCTTTTTAACCCCAACGTTCCTTTTACATTTTTCTAATAACATGGATAATGTGTTAATTTTTTGCCTAGAAAACATTAACAGACAGTATATTGTTACAAATCTACTTTCTTGAGTTTCCACTAAACGACTAAGGATGTTCCAAAATAGTAACTGTTACAAGGAAGTTGGAGTAAATTAAAGTATTTACTGGTAAATGATGTTATAGAGGGATCCTCGACTTACGTCTGTTATTCACGCAGTACTTGAGACTCGAGCGGCCAACAATATTGAGAGCTCTTGCGAAGAGCTGTTTAGTTTCACTCGAACAGGATTTGATTAAGTGTCCGCTATTGTTGGGAAAACGCCTCATTTCATTGCTAAGAAAATTAATATAATTATAATTTATTTTCCCCTGTTTAAGTGTTTTAAAAATAAATTGGTAATACTAGCATAATCTTATTTTACTGATATTATAAATACGAAAGTTAAGATGGATTGATTATTATTATTATATTAGGGTTTGTAGCCTAAGTGACTGAACGGATTTCGATGAAGTTTGGAAAAGATGTAGAGGATAGTCTGGAAGACCACATAGACTACTCACATTTGGTCTTTTTTTTAAATCCACCCGGATGGACTCGCGAGCGAAAGCTAGTGTTAAATATTAATATATCATATTTAATATTAAATTATTATATTAAGACTTTGATAATGATTAATTAATTCGTCAAAGCTTTTAATCAGTAACAATTTTATTGTATCCTAACTTAGCTATAAGTTTAAGTTTTAACAAATCTTTCGTTTATCATAGTTCGATCAGTAAGTTAAGCACCGTTGATAATTTAAACGTGTATAGAATTTGTTATAATGTACTAAGAGCGTACTCTCGCGTAATACTATTTAGTATTACGCGATTTCTGTGACCTTGTATAGAGGCGCACAAAACTCGATTTTTAGTTGTGCAACTAAACAGTTGAATTGGCTGCGAAACAATCGACAATCGCAACATTTGTGCGATAGTTTAGTCACAGGTGTACGCAGTAATTGATGTCAAATTTCCCTCTTGTTGGTAAGCCGATCAATAACTCACTCGCTTTCGAATGGTGTGTCTGAAAGCATACTTCAGTTAGACAAACTTCCTTTCGACAAATGTCAGTTCGCTTCACTAGCATTAACATAACTTATAACTAGATAGCAACGTCCAGATTCACTTACACTTATTAAATGTATGGTAGATGTTTGTTACGTATGTATCTACAAAACGGCTCAATATATTTGGATAAAATCTAGCAAAGATGAAATAGTCTGGAACAACACATAGGCTACTTACTAATTTTAATTTCCACGCTGACAAAGTAACGTGCAAATGCTAGTATGTTTACGAATCTAGACACAATTTGCATTTTAAAAATCTCTTAATGACTTAATTAATTGAATAAGATAGTTTTTATGATCATTTAGTGCTTATTTTATCGTTAATCTGTTAAACTTCGTAAAAGTCACGTATTCTTGTGACACATTGTGACGTCACAGCCCACGCAGTTGTAAGTCTTAAGCGGCTTTCAAAATGGCGTCTAAGTTGTCGGGTTAAAATCAATTTGGGGTCCACACATGTCGGCCGCAGCGTCACGCTGGAACACTTATGGAGTTACAACTTTGATAATAGTTTACGAAGGTTTTACTAAAACGTCTTAAATATTGAACGCTATTTGTTTTTTTCATTGTTGAGCAGTAAATTATTGTAGTTGATTGTATTTTAATTTGTTTAATAAGATATTGCATATGATTATAAATTAAGTATTTCATTATAAATGTCACACTGCTACTGGGTTGCTGAA